ATAAGCAAACCATAAAGCATAATAATGTGTTAATTATAAAAAGCATTTAAAAAACTGAAGAGTTGATTACTGTTGATTTAATTAACTATAAGTCCACCGGTGATTCGCATTCGCGCAGCTATTAAAAGCTTCCTATATTAGCTAAACAGCTAAGGTAGAGCGCACTACTGCTAGCCCGAAAGTCTATAGCTGGGATCTCGGGTTTGAGATTGTCCCTGAGTCAGAGGCGTAGCGACCCTTCCCGGCGCCCGGGGACAAACTTTTTCGATTTGCACCCCCCCCCTCGAACTTTTCATTTTCACCCCCCTCAAACTTTCGATTTGCACCCCCCCCCCTCGAACTTTTCATTTGCACCCCCCCTCAAACTTTCAATTTGGCGCCTCCCCCTTAGGTCGGCGCCCGGGGACGTATGTCCCCCGCCCCCCCCCCCTCGCTACGCCTCTGTCCTGAGTCCACCCAGCTCGGATGGGTACCTGACTCACGTTAGGGGAAAATAATGGCAACTGGACATAGTGCTATCCCTTCATATGCCAAGGTCACAGAAACAGATTAACACTTTTTTCCCCTGCCCCCATAGACTATTAATTTAAATAGGGTAACTATGTCATCTAAATATGACTTTAAATAGCCTACTCTTTGTTTGTGATGAAAATTTTTAGTACTATATAATGTAAAATCAGTTTTTAAAAATAAAAACGAATTAACAAATTTGCTGATACTTCTTAATTAGGGCTTAAACAATTCATTTTTGTTGTTATAAGGTGTTAATCTCCCCTTCCTGTACCAAACTCACAGGGGAGGAGGGGAGGGCTATCTCCATTTTCATTCTTTCCCCCTCGTGGGGCTCAGAGATTTATCAGCCATCTCTCCGGGGAGGGAAGCGTACCCCCTCCACTATATAGAAAATGTAGGGTCTATAAAGAAAAAAAGATTGTATGAAAATTATTGAAAAATATACTTTGACCAGTGTGCCCCCCCCCCAATCCTCAAGGAAATTTTAAGCGTGCCCCCCGATGTTTTAAGTAAACCCCGATCCCCGGTGAATAGTGTCTAAAATAAACCATGACGATGACGCAAATTTATTAGGGCTATATATACCATAAAAAATGTGACAATTTTGATCCACCATTTCTTTCCATATGGGACGGCGTGGTATGATGGTAGAGCTCATGACTGCTAAACCAGAAAGTTCGGGGGGGGGGGGGAATCAAGTCTGTAAGGCGTCCCTCTCTGATGGCGCTGATGAGTACCTTAATTACGGTAGGGAAACAAAAGCGGCTGGGCATAGTGCCGAGGTAACCAGTGTTTCTTCCAGTTTTTTTTCTCGGGGGGGGGGGGGGGCGAAAAGATGCCTGGAAGAAACACTGGAGGTAACAGAAACATATTAACTCTACTTCTTGGTCATGAACGGCAAACGATGATGATCATATGATTTCTCTCCGTGCAACGTTTACGTAACAATGATCATCCCAATGTTATGTAACAATAGATCATCCCAAACAGTGTTTTCTTCCAGGCATCTCTTCGGGGGGTGGGGGTGACACCATTTATGGGGGTTACACCAAGGCAAAAAAATAGCAAAATATATAGAGAAAAAACTTGAGGGGGGGGGGTGCAAATCGAAAGTTTGAGGGGGGTGCAAATCGAAAACTTGAAAGTTCGTCCCCGGGAAGGGTCGCTACGCCTCTGGGGGGTGACACCATTAAGTGCCGCACCGGGTGACACCCGACCTCGCTACGCCACTGCACTACACCATTCTAGATTTTATATATTATCCTACTGTTTGTAAAAAATGAAATGTAGATCTAATAGTTATCAGAAAATGAGATGCACACTTTTGAAAGAAACACGTCAAACCACTAAAAATACACAGGTTATTTAATACATTTAATTTAAATTGGGGTAGTCCAAGAAGGACTCGTTCTTTTAATTTAGAACGATTTACCCCCCCCCCCCCCCATGGTCACAAAACGACACCCTAAAATGACGTCACACCTCAGCCTACAAATTCTAAAAACGATTGCAATTTAAAACTGTTGTTTCTTTATAAAGGATTGATATGGCTTTATTTTTTAAAAAAATCAAATTTCTTTACAAAAAAAAAATATATAGATCTAGAATCTATATTAAATTTCAATGTGAAGTAAATGCTAAAATACTTTCCACTCCAGTCTGTACTTATCAAAACACAACATTTAAATAAGGCTGACGCTCTCTCATGCACCACGTTTGAGTGCGAAATTTGGTCTATAAAGTATAACACGGCTCTTGACAAATTCTGTTATTTTACTATCAGGCTACAGTGAGATCTATAAAAAAATGTCTATTTTCTAACTTCTTTCTAAAAGTTTTTATACTCGTTTTTATTTGAAAAATAATAATTCGAATTAATAATTAAATATTCATGCGACAAAAAATATATTCAAAAGTTTTCGCGGAAACTAGTGATCACTCTAAACACCATAAGATACCAAACAAAACAAAAAAGCTTTGTAAAAAGGTTGTAGAAATTCTAGATCGCCCTAATGCTCTCCAAGGAATTGAAAAAAAAACAACTATAGGTCAGAGGGTTCCCAGAATGTTTTCCATCTACTTCCATCTATATTAAAAAATGAGCTAACGGAAGCGTACATTATATATATATATATATATATATATATATATATATATATATATATATATATATATATATATATGCAGATGTGAGCAATATAAAATAGTGGAGCTATAATTGGACTGAGTGGGCAGTTCGCCATAAATGGCACCTCTTTTTGTAAAAAAAAATGAGGAATTTTAAAGTTAGTTATTGTAGTCATAAAAACAGACTCAAGAATGTGTAGCCTAAATGCGAAATAAAATCCATTTTAAAATTACTTTTTAAAATGCAAATGTTTGGAATCATACACTCTGCCCAACCCTCCCATGGTCACAGGTCGTCACAAAATCCTCACCCCAGACGAATAACGTTGTTTATGGACGACCGCCATTGTAATCTTGAGTTTTAATAGTTTATATTATCAGAACGCCTATATATATATATGCTAGATAATTCGACTTCGACTTATTTCTTTGTTTCTCATGGGGAGCAAAGGGCAGCAAATCACACATCCCTGCCCGACTCGGTTTCAGGCAGCTTTCCTTATCTGCGTCTACGTGAGCCCAGCGCAGTGTTTCTTTCAGAATTTTTTTCTCCAGGAAACTCCAGGAAAGGGGAGGCACTTGAAACTTTCGATTGGGGGAGGTCTTATTTTTCTATTTCCTTCGTGGGCGGTATACGCGCTTGGGGGGGGGGGTGGCGGTGCCCCTCGAAGAGATGTCTGAAAGAAACACTGGTCCAACAGCCTATTCCTCTTCTTCTACCGTTCTTCTCTATGATTTGTTAGGACGGCCCACTTTATGAACGACCGCCATTATGATCTCGATATGTTGATATTATCAGAACATGCCTAGATCTATATGTTAGATATCAGATTATTGTTATTAAAATTTTAAATACCCATAGAATCTAGATGGTTTAAAAATATATTCAGTTATTTTCAGTATATTGTTCGCTCTTCCTTTGGACCTTAGGCCTAGATCTTCATCGTGTGTATTTTTTACTTTACATTTAGGTAATTAGACCAACCCAGTGTTGGTGATTCAAAAAAACAACAACCTTAGATTGAATTGAATAATCACATTCACATCGATTATATAATATATAGTTCTAGATTTAGAATCTAGATCTATTAGTATTGTTTTCCATGTGCATTTTGTAACTGTGTACCTAACGGTAGGCTTTGTCTTAAAGTCTTAAACAAAAATTATTAAAAATAGAGGCTCTTCTTGTCACAATTTGTGACAATTGTCACCTCATTTGTGGCAGTCTTGACTCTTGATACTTGATTCAAGTCTTGATTCAAGTTGATTGAGTCTTGCTTGGGCCTAGGGCCATTTGATTTTGTTTACTATTTAGGCATACAAACCTGAAATTTTTATGGCAATTTGTTTTTATCAGAGACAGATAATTCTACGCTGATTTAATTTTTTGAATAAATCAGATTGTTTTATGATTAAAATAAAAGGTAATCTATCGTTTTGGGTACGTAAAATCGCCCGCGGCTATTTATGTACGAAAACGTTACCTCATTGTCAAGGCTTTAATAGAAGTATATTGAATATTGTCATACTTTTGTGTCAAATATTATAGATAAATGAATAATAAACCTAAATCAATGGCTAAATATATCGATATAGGCCAGAAATTAACTTTAAACAGCAGTGTCTGAGAGCAAGATTTGCTATATAAATAGCAGCCATTTGTAAAATAGAGTGGCTTCCCCCTGAATCTAGCGCTAAAAGCTTATAAAAATAAAACTTAGACAAGATGGCTGCTATAGTACATGAGCATGGTTGCATCTGTTGGAAACATCGCTAGTCTTCATTTATTACGGAAAAGATTTAATTCAATTGTTTAAAAACAGGTACATAAATGAATCAAGGAAACATTTTTGAATTTTTTAAAACATAAATCTTCCTCAAAATGTGAAATAATTATTAAAATGTAAGGAGTCACCTGTTTTTCACATTACAAATCGCCGGCGATTTTACGTACCCAAAACGATAGATTACCAAATAAAATAAATGGGCCTACAACCCTTACAAGTTTATAAAAAAATTGATTAAGTAATGATACTAATCTGTCTTTCTGCAACTAGTTCTAGACCTATATCTCACACATTAACATTGAGGCATCCCGATTTCTGATATCTTATTTTACCAACTGTAATACTAATTTTTTTACTGCCTCCTCTGTGTTCCTCCATGTTCTTGTATCTATGTGTGTGAATATAATAAATGTGTGCGTGTTTCTTCCATCCATTTTGGTAGCAGAGCAACACTACTCATGTTGCCAACACTCCTAATAAACTAACCAATAAAAAAAGGGTCTTTAGATATTATGCCTCAAATTTATTTTTTTAATACATTAGTTCATGATGCCTCATTTTTTTTCAGAAATCACCAAATTCTAACATGGATAGTATTGTTTATGGATGTTATCAGTTAAAGTCACAACATTAATACTGTTAATTCAAATAAAAGTAAGTTTTGCATTTTCAATTTAAGTCAGTGATGTATCACAGTATCCTTACTTTGATATAAGCCTCAGAGCTTACATTTTTAGGTTCTTATTTGAATCAGGTATTTGTAAATGTGAGTTCACTATCATGTTACTGCATCAGTAGAAAACAAGAATGGATAATTAATCCAACTAATTAACTAGACCTTAGTAAATTCTTTGCCTGCAATTTAAGGGTATTTAATATATTGTGTTGGTGATTCTTGATGGTTATTTTTTTTAGATTTTAAATAATATCAGAATGTTATAATAAATTGATATTTCTGTGTTATTTGGTGAATAAAATTTTTTGTTTCTCCATCAAAAAATAATTGCGGATTGTTTTCTTCGTTTTTTCCAGTTAATTTTATGCTTGTGTGAGAAATTTCTTCATTTTTTCCAGTAAATTTTATGCTTGTGTGAGAAATTTCTTCATTTTTTCCAGTAAATTTTATGCTTGTGTGAGAAATTTTCCCATCACACTGGAGTCAGAGGAGATGATTACAGCTTGTGACACCCAGGATTTTGTCCCTTTCGGCCGCGAATACCTTCGCCGACATCCTGGGCAGTTTCAAATTAAAAGGAAAAGCAGCTATCCCATAACAGATCATGGCATCCCATTGATCAAATCTTTCAAAGATATTTGTTTACATGAGCCAGATAAAGTAATTTGTTTATTTAAATTACATTAATAGCTACTTTATTATTATTATCTTAGTAGAATTTTTGAATAATCTCATAATTTGCTTAAGACTTAAGTTCTTGCATTAACTTTCATTATGTAAACACCATTTTAAACATTAGTTTAATCACTAGTTATAATTTCTGTTGATGATATATTATATGTGACCCTTTGCCACAGTTTAAGCCCTTTGTATGTATAGATAACTTTGTCTTATTATTGTGTGTTGAGCCAGGCACCTTTTTTTAATGTGATATAATTTAAAAATCAGAGAGATACTCTCTGAGCTGTGGTCTGTTTCTATAGACTGTTAGAAAAACAATTCTGTCTGAGAAAAAACACCTCCTGCTTATGTGTTGCGCTATTGAAAAAAAATGTAAGAAATAACAAAAAATACCATAATCTATATGTACCATCTACCAGAGGTGCAAAATAATGAAAACTGTCCAGATGTATGTATACATTCATAAACCTACTGTTTTTTTTTAAACCATAAAAGTAGATCACATTGAAAGTTGTTGTACTGTTTTTGTTTTTCTAGAAGGAGAGCTGGGTGTTTAGACAACATGAGACCAGTGACAGCTATGATGAGGAGCTCTACGTCCATGGCCCTACTGTCATTTGGAGTAGAGGTAGCCAAGACAGTATTAGGACCCTGGTTAAGACCTTTACCATGGATTCTCCTGTGTTGCAGGTACTTGAGAAATAAGATCTGTAGTACGTTAGTGGTAGAACATTATTGGAATATTGGGTGAGATTGAACACCTGTACTGAGCCTGTTCAGATGTGTATTCTATGATGAAACAAAATTAAATATCTACATTTCATTTTGTTCTAATTTCCACATTTAAAATTTATCCTGTATTGAAATTACAGTGAGACCCGTGCATCTATTAATCTCTAGTATTGTCTATGTGGCTGTACATTGGTTTTTGTCTTGACTTATTATTTAGGAATTTGTCATGGATCATTTCTTTTATTCTGTCATTGTTAGGCACTGTGGGGATCTTTTATTTTATCATCTGATAAACAGACAGTCGATTACAGCTCCACAATGGGGTCAGAAGGTTAGAAATTTTTTTTTAAAGTTCTAATTAAAATGTTAATTTTTAAATGGAGTTTTTAGTTGGTTATTATGGTTAATCTTTAAAAAAAATTAAATGACGTTTTCTAAACTTGCATTTAACAAAGGAATGTTTCTTCTCTTTAACTTAGGGCAAGTGCAGAAAGGTATCTGTGTTGTGGAGTCTAGCACATTAAGTTTCTTTATAGAAGAAGGGGGAGAGTACTCAACACCATTGCCCTTTCAGGTACCATACATTGCATGTTAATTGCCGAATCTAAAAGAAAAATAACATATAGCCTGGCAATACAAAATAGATGGTTTAGGTTAAGGCTTAGTTTTTGTTAAGGTACAAAGCCGCATATTATAATAAGTTGTGGATGGGATAGAACAATTGTGATACATTTTCTTCTATCATTCTTCCATTTCTTGTTAAATGCTGTTTTAATTGGTTGTTTAAATTAGTTTGTGGTGTTTGTCTAATTTGTAAGGGATTAATAGAGATCACAGAGATAATCCTTTGCCAACAGTGCAGTCTGTGTTAGCTGCAAATGTTCCATATCATTCACCAAAGTACACTTAAAAAGTTACTGTCTATTAAGGGTTCTTACTATTATCTTTTTTGATTAAGCTCAATTTATTTTCAACAGGTCTCTCAAACATGGCTCATCAAGAATGGGCTTTTATTTGAAAGAACACTTACAAACGCTGAGATGAAGTCACAGAAAAAGTAGGCACATTTTGTTTTAGTAAAATATTTTAAAATATTTCTAAAAGTATATTTTTTTCAGCCTTTTAAATTTGTAAACTGGAGGTTTACCAACACAAATACGGACAGGCTACAGCTGCTCACAAACAGATGTTTAAGACAAATACTAGATAAGATGGCCAGACAAAATATTCAATAAAGACCTGTGGCAAAGCACCAAACAACAGCCAATAGAAAATGACATAAAAGCCTGCAAATGGGGATGGATAGGGCATACTCAGAGAAGGGAGGGATAACATCGCGAAGAAAGTATTAAACTGGAATCCAACCAGCCAATTAGATGGGTAGAAACTAACCAGCCAATTAGATGGGTAGAAACTAACCAGCCAATCAGTATTCCAGTATTAAACTGGAATCCCCAGTAGGCTGTCTCAGGAAATCCTTGAGAAGGACAGTATAAGATGAGGCTAGGGCTGCCGGGCTTATGTGGGTGCAAAAAAAAGAGAGCAGCTTAAAACTGAGTCTGTTGGAGAGGTATGGCTGCAGCCCATTGCTCATCATGGCCCAGAAAGGAATGTGAATTCAGTGAAATTTGTAAACTTGTTTCCACAGCCCTTGAACTCTGACACGTAAAGTTAAACTGTGTTGTATGTTCCAGAAACTGCCCAAGCCAGACTGTCATATTTAGCATGTTGCACCCGCTGGATGATATAGCACCTGTGATAACCAGAGTGTCAGGTATTTGCTGTTTCACCATAATAAACATCCATCCGCTAAAGTTTTGAGATCTGTTCTTCATTAAAAAAACAACAAATGTTTCAGTTTTAATACAATGGCTGTTGTAATGTCTATAAGTATTAGTTTTTTGCAAAAAAATTAAAGTTGTATTCAGAATTAAAACTACATATTAAATATAGATGAGATTATTTAAGCTTAGATATTTGAATTTAAAAATTTAAAAAACTATAAATATAAATATTTTCTCTGTAGTGGGGGTATTTTTAATACTGTACCCTTTCAAATCTGATGGCTCATAATGATATTGGATTCATCTTTTTTTTACTTGAGCATCTAAAGAGATACTATGCTCAGCACTAAGCCCAGTTGAGCTGGGTGGACTCAGGGAATCATACTGTTTTGAGCCAAAGAACCAAACTTGAGTTTGCTTGCCCACAGCATCCTATAGTTTGATTATGTTACGTTAGGTTAGCTTTTTGCCCTTCCTGGGACATAGGCAGCTGACGAGAGCTTTCCAGGCATCTCCGTCTTTGGCTAGACTCTGGTTTGATAATGTAATTTTCTAAAACTACCCAAAAGGTTTTGCTAACTCCTGAATTAAATTTTTTAGGTGTAGGTGGCTCACCCAAGATGTCGTACCTAACAGACAGCAGTATGACAGTGATTTTCACAAGTTCCGAACCTTCACTTGCTTTCACGTACGACTGTGTTGCTGGGGTTCACTCTGTGTGGAAGATTAGAAGAGCTAGACAAGAGGTCAGTCAGTTATTTTGACAAGAGGTCAGTCAGTTATTTTGACAAGAGGTCAGTCAGTTATTTTGACAAGAGGTCAGTTTGTTATTTTGACAAGAATTCAGTTATTTTGACAAGAGGTCAGTCAGTTATTTTGACAAGAGGTCAGTCAATTATTTTGACCAGAAGTCAGTCAGTTACTTTGAAAAGAGGTTAGTCAGTTATTTTGACAATAAGTCAGTCAGTTATTTTGACAAGAGGTCAGTCAGTTATTTTGACAAGAGGTCAGTCAGTTATTTTGACAAGAGGTCAGTCAGTTATTTTGAGAAGAAGTCCATCAGTTATTTTGATAAGAGGTCAGTCAGTTATTTTGACAAGAAGTAAGTCAGTTATTTTGACAAGAAGTAAGTCAGTTATTTTGACACAAAAATCAGTCAGTTATTTTGACCCAGAAATCAGTCAGTTATTTTGAGAACAGTTCAATTTTTACTATATTGTTTATATTTTTCAATAATTTAAAAAGTTTTTGTTTTAATAAAAAGAACTTTTGTATTATTCAATTCTTACTTCTATCAAAAATCAGGTTCAGTTACGTTCATTGTTTATTGTTCAACATTTAATTATCCTCTCAGGAAATCAACACGTTGGTTGCATCCGTGGATAACACATCATTTCTGCACATGACACCATACACTGCACGTACAGGTCACAACCTGTCTGCTAGTTTCTCCCAGCATGCCAATGCCTCTGGCACCATGCAGGGTTACAGTAACTCTTCCAGCTTTTCACCATTGAGAAGTTTTTCTGGGAAAGTTATGTCCCCTGGGGGGATTTTGCGCTCAAGCCCCGGTGTAGGAGTGATGGCAACCAAGTGAGTTTTAGCTTTTGTTTTTTATTCATAGAAATTACTTTGATTCTTATACTGTTGGATTTCTGAGCATTACATGCATCTCATAAAATGCTTTATATTTTATGCTTTTAAAATTTTTAATTGCTAAGCAAAAATGACATCAGCAATGTTCACATGATTTTTAAACATACTTAGTAATAAAATATGTTTATTTATATTTGTGCTTGTAGGCTATACCATACAATTTTACAATTAACCATGCTAACTTGCTTTATTAATGGTATGATTTCTAAAAAATGATATGTTTTCTAATCAGTAACATACAAGCATGTATACATTTTTGAAGATGGTATGTAGTAAGCAATATGTTATCAATGGTATGATTTCTAATTACGACCAATTTTTTTCAATCCTCAGCCGAGCTCAGTCCCCTGGTGTATCTGGCTCGGTGAATTCAGCCCTGTACAGGTTTCACACCCCTCCCCTGGCCAGGTCCCCCGGCAGGTTCCTCTTCTCCCCGGGGTCAGGGCACAACGGGTCCTTTGGGGGGAATGAGAGCTTTTACATGGACCCAATGGCATCCCTGCAGCCTAATGTGTGCCTGGAGCAGCAGTGGAGTGAAACTAACCAGCCAATCAGGTGGGTGGAAACTAACCAGCCAATCAGGTGGGTGGAAACTAACCAGCCAATCAGGTGGGTGGAAACTAACCAGCTAACCAGCCAATCAGGTGGGTGGAAACTAACCAGCCAATTAGATGGATAAAAAACCAACCAGCAAATTAGATGGATAGAAACTAACCAGCCAATCAGGTGGGTAGAAACTAACCAGCCAATCAGGTGGGTGGAAACTAACCAGCCAATCAGGTGGGTAGAAACCAGCCAATCAGGTGGGTAGAAACAAACTACTCTATAAGGTGGATAGAAACAAATTAGCCAATTAAAAGTGTCAAAACAAAAAACAATCAGATAGTTTTAATCATCTCATCTTTTTCCGTTTGTGCCCAAGACACATGGGGGAGATGAAGTAGAGTTCATATGTTTCAAAGACCTCAGCATATGAAGAGATAGTGTGGTCAGCACTATGCCCAGACGCCAGTGTTTTCCCTAATTCGAGGTATGCGCCCATCAGAACTAGGTGGACTAAGGGACATTTTCCTGACTTGAACCTGGTTTTGAACCCGAGTCTTTCGGATTCGTAGTCTAGCTCTCTGCCGCTAGGCCACACCTTCCGACACCAACCTAATAACTTGTTTAAAACAATGTCCAGTTATTATGTTATGAGTAATTTAAATACCTCTTCATTGTATTTACATTTTTCCTCTATTCCAGGGATGGCTCCCTTGGGAAAGCATCAAAAGCTTTTTTGTCTCAAGATCTCTGTGGCCAGCAGTACTTGTGTTACATGGTCCCTTACAAGCAGCATTTAAGGTAAAATCCTGTCCTGTGATGCAATGGTGCAGTTTTTTTATTCAATCTTATTTTCTATTCCCACATTTTCTTTTAGAAAGCATAACTAAATAGGCACAACTAAATTAGAAACAGATAAAAAATTATAGTTGAAAAGAATTAATAATACCTAGATTAGAGCTCACAAATTTTAAATTAATATATTAAAAAGTACAGTACCTAAATTTGTAAAAAAAAAAAAAAAATTAAAAAGAGTTAAAAAGAACATAAAAAAGAATAATTCCTAATTGTCAAACAATTAACATCAGTAAAATTCCAACAAAAGTACAAATATATTAAGATAAAAATCAAATTAAAAGATTATTTGTATGTAACAGTTACTAAACAATTAACTGATTCGTGCACGTACAGGTGTTTAAAGTTTGAGGAAAGCAATGACGGAAGCCAGCTGATCTTTGGTTCACTGACACTTCTCCCTGCCAAAGATGCCACTTCAATTGAAGTAAGATACTGTTGTGTACACATTAAACTTCACTCTTTAGTAACATCCTGTTTTTGTTATAACTCTGTGGCAAATAAAAGTAATGTGTAGTGAAGAAATGTTGTTTTCTTGTTTTTTAGGGTCAAAATATGATTTTAATTCTTGAGATATCTGGTGTTCTTGTCTTATATACTGGTACAACTAAGGTAGGGTTCAACTTATACATATCTTTATCATTTAAATAATTAGTTTAATTGTTCATTGCTTCTTTTATATTTTTTTCAATTTTCATTCTCATGTATGCATTTATTCTGCAATTGTCTTTCGTGTAATTTCACTTTTACACAGAATTTTTATGTAAAATTAATTTTGATATTGTGTTTCTGGAACCATTTTCTTTTAAGGATTATATCCCTTGTTAAAATAGTACAAATAAATGTATACAACTCTGTTGATAACTATGGTTGAATTATATCCCTTGTTAAAATAGTACACATAAATGTATACAACTCTGTTGATAACTATGGTTGAATTATCTCCCCTAGATAAGCCAGGTTCACATCCCCATCTTTTCACTGGGCTCAGGGTCCATTAGCATGGTGCGTTCTTCAACCACTCCCTTTGCTAGCCCAGTCAGGGGGGAGGTCTTCACCAGCAGCCGGCCCCCTTCAGCCATGGATGTGAGGTTTGAGGATGAGGTAAAGTGTCACAAAATTTATCAAAACTTGGTACACAAAAGAATCACTAAAACAAATTAAATCTAGTGTTTTCAACATATTATAAAAAGTAAATTTGTAGAATACTATGCTATTTAAAGTGAAGACTAGTTATGTACGTTTGCTTGTTGTCACCGCCTGGGACATATGCCGCCCCCGTCTGGGACATATGGCGCCTCCCCCTGGGACATGACGCCTCCCCCTGGGACATATGACGCCTCCCCCTGGGAAATATGACGCCTCCCCCTGGGAAATATGACGCCTCCCCCTGGGACATATGACGCCTCCCCCTGGGACATATGCCGCCTCCCCCTGGGACATATGCCGCCTCCCCCTGGGACATATGCCACCTCCCCCTGGGACATATGCCGCCTCCCCCTGGGACATATGCCGCCTCCCCCCGGGACATATGCCGCCTCCCCCTGGGACATATGACGCCTCCCCGTGGCACATATGCCGCCAACAAGAACTTTCCTGGCATCTCTACCCTGAGCTAGTCTCCCCTGTTTTTGTCTGGACTCTACTCACACAGATCTTCCTATCTTGGTTGAACTTGCCAGGAGTTTACACTCCCCCTGGTAGAGTTCTAGAGGTCATCAGGGTATACAAGCTACCAAGCCACAACAAGGCTTTTGCACCAGATGTCAGGAAAACTAGTCATGTTCTTGTATTGTATTTAAGTTTCAACTTGCCAAAGAACTTGCTCAATGGAATTTTTTAAAATTTAATGTCACAAAAGAAAAGCAGTTGAAAAGAAAAAAACTTATTTCATTTTATTAATAGAAATCTGAAATGGAGTTTTGTAATTTATTTTCTAATGGTTTATAATTTTAACATTTTTTTTACTGCAAGAGTAAAAAAAAACCAATATAATATTAATATATTATGTTATAATTATATTATTATTATAATGCTTTAGTTAAAGAATGTAATATTCTGGAAAAATGTTTGTTTCCAAACTTTAAAAACCAAACTTGCTTATCTGGCATGTTACATTCTTTGTGTTTTTAATGAATAAATTGAGAAAAAAGACTCCACCCATGTAAATAGAGATACAAACCTTCTCAGATGAATCACATCTCACCTGTGTCTGCTAATCTGGAAGATTCCAGCAGCCAGTTAGACTTCTCTATGGGTGGACTGGCAATGGTCACTCCAGGCAGCTGCTTCATCCAGAATCTCAGAGACAACATTGGCTCCAAGTTTACTGCTGTAAGTTGTTGATTTCTTACTGCTGTTAGTTGTTTACTTTTGATTTTTACTTCTGTGAGTTGTTAACTTTTTATTTTTTTTACTGCTGTAAGTTGTTTACTTTTGATTTTTTACTGCTGTGACTAATTTAACATTTGCATTATTTACTAGCTGATAGTTGTTTACATTTGGTATTTTACTGCTGTAAGTTGTTAACATTTGATTTTTTACTGGTGTAATCTGTTCATGTTTGAATTTTTTTACTGCTGTAAGTTATTTACATTTGATTTTTTACAGATGTACATGGTTAACATTTGTTTTTTTTACTGCTGTAACTAGTTAAAAGTGCAAAAAGTAGATATTGTAAAAAAAAAAGAATAGTAATTCAAGTTGATTTTTAAGTGATAGATTTATTTATAACCTCATTGTATCAAATTTTATATTGTAAGATTTATTTATAACCTCATTGTATCAAAATTTATATTGTAATATTTAAGGAACTTCTGAATGGAAGTTTTTGTAGAACAGAGTTACCTCCCATGACAACCTCACCAGGAAGTGAGTAGACATGTTTGTTTCCCTTTCATTTTAACCCAATCCTCTCTTAGGAATACATTACTTGACTCCACCCACTTAGTTACCTCTTCCTTATTCCTTTATTATTTACTTGCTATTAGAGTATTATGGTATGGTGTGGCCTAGCGGTGGAGCGCTAGACTGCTAACCCGATAGTTTCGAGTTCGAATCCGGGTTCAAGTTAGTGAAGCATCACTGAGTCCACCCAACTCCTGTTAGGGATAAAGGCGGCTGGGCATAGTGCTGACCACATTATCCCTTTATATGCTGAGGTCAAGAAACATAAACTCCACATCATCTGCCCAATGGATTGTTAGGTCTAAAGAGGAATCTTTACTTTTTTTTATTAGAGTATTGTCAATTTTAGTTTCCCAGTTTCTAACATGATGTCTTATCATGCAGTCGACCTTTGCCTGAAAGCCTTGAAGCACCTGCTGCCCAAGGATATTGCCCTGCAGGTACTGGGGCGCTGGTACACTGTACGCAACTCCCCTGGGGGCGTGGGCAACGTCTCGGAATGGTCAATGTTTAACAAGTGCATTCTGGGAATGATGGGATATGACACTGGCAAGCTGGGACTAACAACTAAAGTAAGATTTGTGTTTCTAGTCTAGGACAAAGTGTGACTTGTGTTAAGTAATAACATGTTTTTAAAAAATAAATTTTTTTTCAAACAAATTTTCTAAATGTAAAGAACATTTTTATAAAATAATGCTTCACAAATGTAAAAATATGAAAGTGTTTTAGAACATTATCATATAGCGATGGCTTGGGATTTGCAAATATTTTTTTATTAACGTCAAATTTTGTATTCAAACACCAAATTTTGTCCACAGGGAGAGCGTGATGGCTCCTCTTCTCCTGTGATGCATACCAAAAAGGCCAAACCTTCTGACCAAGGGTTAGATGATGTGAGTCATAAATTAATTTTTCTTAACATTGGAGAGTATAAAACAAAACAAGTAAACCAGTAAGCAATAATTATGTCCTCTAAATTTAAGTAACAAATTGTGTCCCTTGCATTGAGTCACAAATTATGTCCCTTATAAATGGATAGCTGTAAAAGCAGCCTTTCTATCTGTCACCTGGTAAAAAGGGGAAACATGAGCCTATCCGAGACTACCATAACATGGCCCTAATCCTAGATTTATTTTTTGCTCAAAATGTACTACCAGTATACTCAGATACTGTAAGCCTACTATCCTGTGTTTATAAAAAAAAAACATTAATGTACTTTTAAAAAAATACCTGAGAAGCTGAATCCTCTCCCTAGGACTGGGACTACCTGTTGATCTCTGACCACCACCTGCTGTCCAGCACGTCCCATCACACCCTGGGTATCACAGGGTCCGCCACCTTCAATGAAAACTGGCAGCCGTCGCGTCCCTGTGCCATCAACAGTTCCGCACTGCTCTTCCCGTTTTGTCCTGCCATTTTAATTGCATTACACTTAGTCTACGAGGTGGGTAATATTTCACCTTCTAATTATAAACAAGAATATTTTATTTTTATATTCTTTACATCAATAGATTTTATTAACTAGAAATAAAAGGTTATTATTAAAAGAAGATTATTATTATTTTAGCTGCACACAACTATATTTTATTTGTTAACTTCTTAATTTTATTCTTTTTGTTATGAATCCAGGAAATGAAACTCAATATACTTTTGAAAGAAGAGTTGCAGGACTTTGCTCCACTGGTCCATCAAATAGCCTGGTATATTGCACTCAGTACATTTTAGAATTTTAGTTGGTTTATAAACAATAAACAGGTTACGGTGTCTGGTTATCAACCTCTTATTTATATACATATTTTTATGTGTATTTATCTAAGATTTCAGTGTGCTGAATTAGTTCGCCATATAAATTTATTTTATTCTTGTGCTGAATTAGTTCACCATATGTAATTTATTTTATTCTTATGCTGAATTAGTTCACCATATGTAATTTATTTTATTCTTATGCTGAATTAGTTCACCATGTGTAATTTATTTTATTCTTATGCTGAATTAGTTCACCATATGTAATTTATTTTATTCTTATGCTGAATTAGTTCACCATATGTAATTTATTTTATTCTTATGCAGAATTAGTTCACCATATGTAATTTATTTTATTCTTATAATATTGTTTATAAGACTGACTGTAATGCCATATTCCTCACAGTGATCTACATTGTACCAGCTATGCTGATTGTTACCAAAGAGATTTTCCAAAGTTGTTTGAGCAGATAGATGACATAAGTCAAGTTACAAATGGTAAGGTACATGTGACATATGTCAAATTATAGTTGTTAGGTACATGTGACATAAGTTACAGATGGTAGGTTCAAGTCACAAGGTGACACCTAATTACATTAAGAATGTTACCTTTTAGAATTTCCTTGGATTTCCAAATATTTTCTTCCCTGAAAATATTCCTTTAATATTTTTCAGTTACAAAAATGGTTTTTAAAAGTATTAAATTTAAAAAAAAAATTATGTCATTCTCTAAAGGAAATTTACACCTAACTCAAGTTTCTTCACTATTCATCTAACATTTGTGGTCAAATCTCTGTAACATTTACTGGAAAAAGAAAAGTAGTCTAGTTACAGATGGTGATTTATTCTTGTTCAGTAAACAACCTTTACTTTTTTTTTCTTTCAGATGATTTGAGCAAAATGCAGTATCCTCAAATCTTTCCTAAAGAAGCTCCCACTGTGCTAGGGTGGATAACTCAAGCCTTGGGTTCAGGGCCACAACCTAAACCCATGCCTTATCTCCCTTTATGTGAAAACATAAAGAAAGTCATATCAGTAGGACTTTTAAAATATTCATTTTTTTTTCAATAAATTAAAAAATAATTAAATGTGTTTATTAAAAATGTTAACATTTTATAAAGATAGGAATAGACTGAATATAACTGCTGCTGTACTTTCATACTCTTAAAACCGTAAAAACAGTTCATTTAGTTCAGCATAAATTTCCTCTCAGTAAAGATACATTTTTTCCTCTTCCTATCTTACAGAGCTTTGTATTTTCTGTCTTGTAGGAGTCTGTTAATCAGTCTCTCATGCGGTAGCAGTCTTATCAGTATATTTTCTATCATGTCGGTGTCTATCAGTCATGAAAGTGACTAGCGATCTATTTTCTATGCTGAGAGTTTCTAATCTACTTTGTACCCTGTAGGTGTATTCTGTGTTGGTTAATGAAGGTCTCCCCGCAGAAATTTCTGTAGAGAAATGTCTAAAGAAGGTCGCCCCTGCAGGTTAGTAGTCTATTTTTAAATCATTTTTTAAGCGTAATGAGCCAATCATTGCAGCTTTAACTAACTAATCATATTGACATTTTTAAAGTTGGTTTTTAAAACCTTTATTTATTTACCAGAAGTAAATAAAATTTGGAGAAAAAGCGGCGTATCATATGCCGCTATTTAGTTGTTTTATTTTCTACTTTTCAGTAATTCATAATTTGTGAATTCGACAGTACCAACGCTGCCACTGAAAATATTTGCTTTAAAACACTATCAGTAGCTCGTCAAGGATGATATTTCCCCTACCCCCCCCCCCGTGAAAGTAAACTCCTCTTAGTTACCTCCCCTAAATTTAAAATCGTTTCAAACTAAATTATCTGCCCCTAATAGCTGTCACTAAACACGGCTCTACGATTGTAAATATTTAGCGTGAACCACAGCTCACCAGACCATGTAGGGGTGGGGGTGGTAGGGAGCTTGGTGTTTTCTATCGTCTCCAAGAAGAGAATTATATATATAGATTCTTTTTATCTTTTCAGGCCATAGGGCACCCACTGCAGACACTTCACTGTCCTTCTCCTTGTCCAAAAGTTTCCGCATGTCCCTGGCATCATCGCAGGCTGAGAAACTGGTCCTTACCATGACGGAGCTTGGTAGGTGGTTTTATAGTGACTGGTCAATAGGGCTGGTAAGTAGGTCACCAACCAGCTCTAAGGGCTCAAGCAGGTTTTATTGAGCCGTAGAACTGGTTGGTGACCTACTTACCAGCCCTATTGTCATAGTAAGGTCTGGCCAGATTCAACAGCAATGGCTGGTCAGCTCTTTTTCTTCCTCATTCATAGATGTAATATTGGGAATTTCCTCCGAGATGATTCAGTATAACACATCAACATATTATCCGCTATTTAGCTCATTGAAGACTTCAGACTGTTTTTCTTTCTGGATTTGCTTCCGTTGACTTTGTTCACCTTAGAACAGTCTTCCCGGTAGCAGTTGTTTTATTTTGGAGTTTTCTCTCCAAGATGGGTTGCTGTCTCCAAATTATGTGCATCATCTGCTTGGGGTTTCAATTTGTGACTTTTGGAGTGAGCTATCTTACACACCATCCCATGGGCAGTTCTTAAAATAAAGTTTGTTCCAAATCAACATAAGTAGTGTCTGGTCAAGTTTATTAGTAGTGTATGGTCACAATAACAGTTATAATTGGTCAGGCAAAGTAGTTTCTGGTCAGTTTATCATTAGTGTATGATCACTATAACAATTGTGGTTGGTAAGCTAAAGTAGTTTCTGGTCATTTCTATCCGATTTTTATTTCCTTCCCCAAACCTTGTTTGGATGTGATGATTATTGGGTCATTGGATGACTTGTCTAATTGGTGCTGAACTCAGCACTTTTGGTTAATCAAGCCCAAGTTCTAGCACTAGACCAATGTGTCTTTAGTCATTGTACTAGGAAACCTTGATAAATTGTTTCTTTTATTATTCTACACTCATGTTTTTTTTTTAAATTGGCATTATTTACAATTAAATGATTCAAATCCTGAAGCTCCAGTAAAAAATTTAAGATTGAATGATTTAAATCATCTAGTTTCAGAAAAAAATGTATTTCATATTTTAATGGTTGAAATAATCCAGCTTGAGTTGAAGTAAAAAAAAATTCTGTATTTTATCAGACCTGACCCAGAGAGATATTGACTGCCTGCCTGTGGGTATCAGTGTCCCCATGAGGGAGGCGTGTCTTATATGTAGGTCCCAGCCTCCATCTGACTGGCCACAAAGCGCCTATATCCTGATTGGTAAGTCTTGAAAGGCTAGGTTAATTTATTAGTCATGTGCGTTTAATGAGCTCCTGGGTATAATTATATTTTAATGTTTTAATTTATTGAAATATCTGAACTGTTTATTTTAAAGAAATTTTTTTTTAACCAGGTCGTCAAGATCTTTCAGAGTTAGCTTCCTTGAAAGTAGCAGCCACAGGGGTTAAACATCCAGAGTCGACGCCCAGGGAAAGAGAGGATGTTGAAAAAGAAGATGAAGATGGCATGGAACATCTAGACGATGAGGTGGGATAATTTCTTTTTACTATATCAGCGTTATAATGATTAGACTCATAGCTATTTAAAAATACTGTGAAAAGAGAAACATTATAATTTATCTTGAAATAGCTTTATAAATGCATTCAGAAAACATGTAAATGCAATTATGAAGATAATACTCATAATTATACTACGAAACTTACAGATCTACACATTGTGATTTACTAATGGATATATGAATGTAGATATTTGATAGTTTAATTTTGTACAAGTAACATAAAGTTTAAGAGAGGTTACTTAGAAATTTTTAACCCAGATTTCTATATAATTAAAAAAAAAGTTTCCTTTTCAAACCTGACGGTCTATGGGGCAAGTGAAGTAGAGTTCACTTGTTTCTGTGACCTCGGCATATTAAGAGATAGTGTGGTCAGCACTATGCCCAGCCGCCTTTACTTTCCCTAACGTGAGTTAGGTACCCATCAGAGTTGGGTGAACTCAGGGACAGTCTACTGACTTGAACCCGGATTCGAACTCGAGACTTACAGGTTAGCAGTCCAGCTCTCTACCACTAGACCACTCTGTCCCATCTATATAATTACACCTAGAAGAAATCTCTTTGTAATGTAAGCCTCCACCTCTCCAGGTTTTGAAGCTTAGGTTCCCTAAGGACCTGCGTCTGCAGGAAGTCAGGCGCCTGCTGCAGTCAGCTCGACCTGTGACTATAGCCATCAAGCAGAGGCCAGAGGTCAACGACCATGACTTCATTGAGGAGCAAGAAAAAGCTTTACTGGCAACTTGTGTTAGAACTATGGCTCTGCCAGTGGGAAGGTACCTGGCTACATACTTTTTTTTATTTGTTCTGATAATGATTTATAAGTTTTATTTTCTTCAATAAATTAATTAGGATGTATTAAAGCTTTTCTTTTTTAGCTTCTCTAACCCTGAACTTGCCCTAATCTTGACAGAAAATTTGTTCATTACTGTTTTTTTAATGTCCTAATTACCCTAGTCCTAACCGTTACCCTAATCGTTAGACACAAAAAAATTCAATATAAAGAGCCTTCTCATGAATTATACAGAAAAACCAAATTATCAACCATAAGACTAAAACTTTAAAACAGACTTATAGATATTTAAACACTGCTTTTATTTTTTAAATATTTAATTCTTTGTCTTAACTAACTCTTAAAAGCAACTTACAGAAGTATAATTCTAACAGTTAGAGCAATAATTTTTAATATTTCAACAGTGATGGGAATTAAATGGTTACTTGAATAAATGTAACAAAACAATTAGATGCATCCTAATGCCTGACTACATCCCAATTTATCCATTTGTACTTTTTTATTTTTAAATGCTCTTTTGAAATAAGACTTTTAGAAATAAATTCTTGGTTTTCTATTTGGAACCACCTAAATTGACATTAGCAGTGAAACTAAAATTTGTTTTGTAAATTGTTTTTTACCAAAATGCTGTCAGGTTTTCTAGTTAGCCCCTCCCAAGTTAACATCACTTGTGAAAATTGTTTTGTTGCCAAAATACAGTCTTAGTTATCTAGTTAGCAACCACCTAAATGTACATCACTAATGAATTTTAAAATTGTTTTGTTGCCATATGCAGTCTTAGGTTTCTAGTTTTTTAAATTGATATCACCAGTGATACTAAAAATTGTTTTGTTGCCAAAATACAATCTTAGTTTTCTAGTTTTTTAAATTGATATCACCAGTGATGCTAAAATTTGTTTTGTTGCCAAATGCAGTCTTAGTTTTCTAGTTTTTTAAATTGATATCACCAGTTATACTAAAAACTGTTTTGTCACCAGGGGCATATTCACACTCCACACCTGCAGACCTCTGCTGACTGAAACACTTCCCATACCGAAGCTGTGTCTGACTGGCAGGTCTCCCCCCAGGTATCCTACATATTTTAAATTTATTTTTATATATTTAGTTGAGTGGCTGGAAAGATTCGCAACGGAAAACTGCGCACAAAGAAGTGGGCAAGGGCATTTTTTCTTTCTTAAATAGAGCATTTATAGACATAAACAAAGAATGACCACATTTTAGCATAATAAAACACTTTTCCATGAAAGATGACAAAATTAAAGTGAATTAGTATGATTAGTTTGTTATAGTGCATTTTTCTTTTTACGCAGTTTTCTGTTGAGCATTCTTCTGAAAATCATTTAGTGGAGATAATGGTTTGGTCAAGCAGTAACTTTCTAAGCTGCCCACTTTATTGTCTGGAGTTCAATTCCTGGTCATTAGCTAGACCTGGAAGCTGGGTTTTGAATTCACCCAGCTCTGTAAGGGACTTATACAAATTTAGGACAATAAAGATGGATGTGCTGACCACATGTCCTCCTTATATGTGGGTGAACTTTAACCTCTTTGTTGACTCTCAAGTTCCGAAAGGTTATTTTACTTTTTGCTAATGCCAGTTAAGTACCTTTTTACATCTGGTAACTCAGGTGAAGCAGGGTTGATTTGTTTTGTTTTTCAACCTACAAAGGGATTTTGTTATCTTCAGTCTTTTCATTAGTCAGGTTCCGTTCAGAGCTCGGCAGATTTAGATACATCCTAGGACTTTGAGCCCTGGGTAACAGCTCAACACTTTAGCAATCTTATATGGTGTCACTTGTTCATGCTATCCCATATGGTTTATGCATGGGGTTAAAAATATTATATACATCGATGTATATATAAAAATGAAATAAAAGCATTTACACATAAAATGGTATAGTTTTAGATCACTCTGAAACTGGTAATTTACAGTGAAATAAATTAAGGTGATTGGCAGTTATGTTTCTGATAATGCTAATTGTAACCATTTAACTATTGCTTAAGCTCATGACTAACATTTTATCTAAACAGTATTGTTAAATAATTTGTTATAAAGATCTAACGAAATGATTTTCCTAAATAACATTAACAATTGTTTAGTTAAATAGATTTAATGACAGGGTTTATTTTTAATATCCAGAAACAAAACCATTTACCTAAATCAAATTAATAAATGAAAAGGTTTATTTTTTATTTATTCAGAAACACTTAGATTCTTTTAAATAATAATAATTGTTTTGTTAAATAGATTTAATGAAAAGGATTTTAAATTTTTTTTTATAGAAACACAACAGTTTACCTAAATAATATTAACAAATGTTTTGTTAAGCAGATTAGATAAAAAAAAATGCAATTTCTCCAGAAACACAAGTTGACTTAAACAATAACAACAAATGTTTTATTGAATAGATAATAGATTAGATTTTCAAAATTTTCAAAAAAATTTCTCCAGAAACAAGACAGTTGACCTAAATAATATTAACTAATGTTTTGTTAAACAGATTATATAAACAAAATTTTTTTAATTTCTCCAGAAACAAGACAGTTGACCTAAATAATATTAACTAATGTTTTGTTAAACAGCTTATATAAAAAAAAAAAAAATTTTTTAATTTCTCCAGAAACACAACAGTTGACCTGACCCGCATCGAGGTGCCAACAAACATGTCAGTGTGGCCGCTGTTCCACAACGGAGTGGCCGCTGGCCTCAGGATTGCTGACTCCACCCAAGTGGAATCTGCGTGGATCATTTACAACAAGCCTAAAGAACTGACCAATGAGTTTGCTGGGTTTCTTATGGCCCTTGGGCTGAACGGCCACCTGCCTAATCTGTGCACGTTCAACATACACGAATATATTAGCGAAGTGAGTTATATGTTTGGTTTTTGTTTTTAATGATTGGTTATGTTAATGTATGTTCAACATACATGAATATATTAGCGAAGTGAGTTGTATATTTGGTTTTTATATTTAATGATTGATTATGTTAATGTATGTTCAACATACATGAATATATTAGCAAAGTGAGTTGTATATTTGGTTTTTATATTTAATGATTGGTTATGTTAATGTATGTTCAACATACATGAATATATTAGCGAAGTGAATTGTCTATTTGGTTTTTGTTTTTAATGATTGGTTATGTTAATGTATGTTTAACATACATGAATATTTTAGCGAAGTGAGTTGTATATTTTTCATCCTTATCCCACCTTTGAAAGTTGTAATTTCTTTTCTTAGTTTCTAAATTATTTTAACCACAGACAGTTTACTCTTTTAATATTTTGAGAACAATAAAAAAAAAGTAAACATTTGGGGAAAAATAATTTTTATGGCATGGTTGGGGGAGGGGAAGTAACAAGATTTTTTTTTTTCAAGAAGCTGCATTTACAAAAAGTTTGGAAATTGCTTTAGTAGACAATATCATGCTTCTCCAGAGCTAGATTGTTCCAACTCCATTGTTATTTTTTTTTCAACGTTTTCCCACCATTTTACTCCAAACTCACTATGCCATTGTTGTCAAAACATTTGTGGCACATTTTGTCACCATTATTGCAAAACAATATATTTAATATAGAATATGCTATATATTATATGATTTTGTATTATAATTACAAAGTCTTATTGTGAACATATTTGAAAAGTAGAGTTAGAATAGTCTGGTTCAAGGGAAGTGAATACCTGAAAGAATTAATATGGCACCCTATTTGAAAGTGTTCTTCATATTTAAAATATAATAGTTAGAAATTTAAAATATACTTTGGTAAGATGCAAACCCAGTTTTTACAAGTTTTATTAATTCTTTTTATATGACATAATTTAATTCACAGGGGAGTGAACTTGTCACAATAGGAATCCTTTTAGGGATGTCTGCAGCAAAGTAAGTTGTCTTCTCTTTAGAAATTTTTGATAGAAAAATGTGACCAAAGCAATTCACATGCATCCACTATATTACATTTAAAAAGTATGTATAAAAGCACAGTAAAAATTTTTTAAATATACTATAGTACAATTTAGAAGAAGAAAGTATTTAACTGCTTGTATAGAATTTATAAGCAAACAAAGTAAGAAACCTTTTTGGAGCTGGCTAGATGAAGTAGAGTTTAATCTGTTTCTGTGACCTATGCATGTGAAGGGGTGGTGTGTTCAACACTATGCTCAGCTGGCTTTTCTTTACCTGACTTGAGTCAGGTACCCATTAGAGCTGAGTGGACTCAAAGACAGATTACGAACTGGGATCCGAATTCAAGACTTTAAGGCTAGGGGTTGTGTGCACTAGCACCTGGTCACCCCGCCCCAGATGTATATTCTAACAACTTTGTGAATGTTCTTCAGGCATGGCACCATGGACCAGATAGTCACCACACCACTTGACCACTCTGCCCCATATGTTGACATATAAACTCTAACAACTTTATGAATGTTCTCCAGGCGTGGTACCATGGACCAGATAGTCACCACACCACTTGACCACTCCGCCAGATAGTCACCACACCACTTGACCACTCTGCCCCATATGTTGACATGTAAACTCTAACAACTTTGTGAATGTTCTCCAGGCGTGGCACCATGGACCAGATAGTCACCACACCACTTGACCACTCCGCCCCATATGTTGACATATAAACTCTAACAACTTTATGAATGTTCTCCAGGCGTGGCACCATGGACCAGATAGTCACCACACCACTTGACCACTCTGCCCCATATGTTGACATATAAACTCTAACAACTTTATGAATGTTCTTCAGGCATGGCACCATGGACCAGATAGTCACCACACCACTTGACCACTCCGCCAGATAGTCACCACACCACTTGACCACTCTGCCCCATAAGTTGACATGTAAACTCTAACAACTTTGTGAATGTTCTCCAGGCGTGGCACCATGGACCAGATAGTCACCACACCACTTGACCACTCTGCCCCATATGTTGACATATAAACTCTAACAACTTTATGAATGTTCTTCAGGCATGGCACCATGGACCAGATAGTCACCACACCACTTGACCACTCCGCCAGATAGTCACCACACCACTTGACCACTCTGCCCCATAAGTTGACATGTAAACTCTAACAACTTTGTGAATGTTCTCCAGGCGTGGTACCATGGACCAGATAGTCACCACACCACTTGACCACTCCGCCAGATAGTCACCACACCACTTGACCACTCTGCCCCATATGTTGACATATAAACTCTAACAACTTTGTGAATGTTCTTCAGGCATGGCACCATGGACCAGATAGTCACCACACCACTTGACCACTCCGCCAGATAGTCACCACACCACTTGACCACTCTGCCCCATATGTTGACATGTAAACTCTAACAACTTTATGAATGTTCTCCAGGCGTGGTACCATGGACCAGATAGTCACCACACCACTTGACCACTCCGCCCCATAAGTTGACATGTATAATCTAACAACTTTGTGAATGTTCTCCAGGCGTGGCACCATGGACCAGATAGTCACAAAAGCCCTGAGTGTTCACGTCTCCGCCCTCCTCCCTCCCACCTCCATGGAGCTCAACATCGCTCACAACACCCGCGTGGCCGCCATCTTGGGGGTGGGGCTGCTGTACCAGGGGACTGGTCACCTGCATATGGCTGAAGTGATGCTCTCTGAGATTGGTCAGTAGTGGTGTTTTGATACGGTTCATTGATCACATAAAGTTTGTTTTAATGGTTTTGTTTTGTCAATGTTAAAGTTTATGGCTGATGATTACTGATCACATAAAGTATTGTTTTGAGGTTGTTGTTTTTTACTTTCTCGTATATACGAAGTATAGAGAAAGTCTTGTAATCGTGCAAAAAAAAAAATCTAGATTTTTGCAAATCTCGACGTTTTACATCTCACTGATACGGAAAAACATAATTTTGCAATCTTGTCCGTATGTCTGTGTGTGTGTGTGTGTGTGTCCGTGTGTAAACACGATAACTTGAGTACCGTTACAGCTAGGTTGATGAAATTTCATATATAAGTATTTTATCAAAATCTTAGATCCGTATCAACTTTTGAGCGATTTCCGATAACCGGAAGTGGTACTTTTTCTACTTTGAATTTTTCAAAAGCCTATAACTTGAGTACTATTTCAGATAGATAAATGAAATTTGATATGTAAGTAAAAGATCTAATTCTCTACCTTCTGTCAAATTTTGAGTAATTTCCGTTGACCGGAAGTACTTATTTACGCTATTTCCGATTTCTCAAAAAAACGCATGTAAATTTATAAAGTACCAATAATATTGCGCACTATTATACACATCTTTATGTAGCGTTCACTTGGTGTGCATTTCTTTTTTCTACGAGATTATATTCTATTTTTTAAAATTTGAGTATTTAAAATTGATTAAAAATCATGTCTAGAAGTCTATATCCCGAGTTGCCATCCCCCGTAGTGTTATATTAGAAAATTCAAGAAAGTTTATGGGAGATCACTCTCGGTTTATTTGTGTTAGGGATAGGGCTAAAGTAAAGACAATGGTTACTGATCACATAAAGTATTGCTTAGAGCTGAGGGTTTTTTTTTGTAAGCGTGGGGGTTAGGGTTATTGTAATGATGCTACCAGCAAAAAATTAGAACCAGAAACAAATAGTTGAATATGTGGTGAAAATTATACTTTAATTAAAATCCTGTGTTTATTTTTTAAATATTTAAATAATTTTTTTGTTGAAAAGGGTTTTTCTGTTTAATATAGTTTTCTAAATGTTATTTTATTTCATGTGTTTTATTTATTGTACTGTGTTTTGTTTATATTTTACTAATGTGTATTGTCTAAATATTACAAATGTTTATTGCCTATATTTTAATGTTTATGGTCACTTTGTTTCTAATGTGTATTGTCTTAATATTACTAATGTTTATTGCCTATATTTTAATGTTTATCGTCACTTTGTTTCTAATGTGTATTGTTTATATTTTAATGTTTATCGTCACTTTGTTTCTAACGTGTATTGTCTATATTTTCTCAATGTAAACTGTCTTGGCCAGGTCGACCTCCAGGACCTGAGATGGAGAACTGTGTAGACAGGGACTCGTATGCTTTGTCTGCTGGACTTTCCCTTGGTCTCATCATGTTTGGGGTAAGTACAAAAAACAAATTATCACATAAAAATACGGGAACTATATTTATTTTGACAAGAATTTTTTTTTAAACATATTTAAATTATAAAACATAAGGATCTTGTCTAATTTATGCTTAATTATATTGAAAGAATGAAAGGAAATTTTAATTAGGTACAAAAATACTTAACTTTTTGTGTGGGTTTGGGTGTATAACTCTAGTTCTAAGAAAAGAAGAAATATAAATTCTCAAGTAAAATAATATGAATGGTGTTAAGTTTTACAAAACAAAAATTAGATCACTGCTAGTTTTTTGCTTGAAGCTGGTGGTCTTGTCATGAGTTTTTATTTCTTCCAGAAAGGCAATTAGACAATGGGAAGTTTTAATTAGGTACCTAAGTACTTAACTTTTTGTGTGGGATTTGGGTGTATAACTCTATTTCTAAGAAAAGAACATATGAATTCTCAAGTAAATAAAATATGAATGGTGTTTTACAACACAAAAGTTAGATCACTGCTAGTTTTTTTCTTGAAGCTGGTGGTGTTGTCATAAGTTTTTATTTCTTCCAGAAAGGCAATCAGACAATGGGAAGTTTTAATTAGGTACCTAAGTACTTAACTTTTTGTGTGGGATTTGGGTGTATAACTCTATTTCTAAGAAAAGAACATATGAATTCTCAAGTAAATAAAATATGAATGATGTTTTACAACACAAAAATTAGATCACTGCTAGTTTTTTTCTTGAAGCAGGTGGTCTTGTCATGAGTTTTTATTTCTTTCAGAAAGGCAATCAGACAATGGGTTTATCTGACTTGAGCATGGCAGACTTGCTGTGTCATCTCATGGTGGGCGGACACACTAAACAAATGGTCAGTAATTCATTTGTTATCTATCTTTCTTCTTCGTTCTTAATTTTAGTGTTGGAAGGGAACCCCTTCTAACACAATTAAGTATATGTGACAACCTATTATGCGCCATTGAGGCCATTGACTCCGATTTCAGCCTGCTTTTCTTTTTGGATTTGCTTCCATAGCCTTTGTCCAACCAAGAACAAACTACAAGGCAGCAGTTGTTTGATTTTGGAGTTGTCTCTCCTAGAAGAGTGGCTGTCCCCAGCTCCGATTTCAGCCTGCTTTTCTTTTTGGATTTGCTTCCATAGCTTTTGTCCAACAAAGAACAAACTACAAGGCAGCAGTTGTTTGATTTTGGAGTTGTCTTTCCTAGAAGAGTGGCTGTCCCCAGCTAACGAGCCTCATCTACCAGAGGGTTCAAACTCGAGACTTTTCAGTTTAGCAACCATGAGCTTTAACAACTTGACCACGCCGAGCCCTGTTATCTATCTGATTTGCCTCAGATTTACTTTTACGCCATACTCTGCTTCATATGCCCTGTGGATCCTTAAGTCTCCCTTTTACTTTTTTTAAAACTTAACATGTTAAATGGGGCGGAGTGGTCTAGCGGTAGAGAGCTGGACTGCTAACCCGTAAGTCTTACATGTTAAACTTTTTTTTTCTTGTTCAGCAATGGCTCAACAGGGACAGACTTTACAAGGCACCAAGTTTTCTCATCAAAGTAATACATTTTTTAAAAATTCATTCAAATTTTAAAAATATTTTGTTTCCTGCAAATGTTTAGGAATTTTTATGCAGTTGTTGTATTATAGTTAATTATAGTTGTTTATTCAAAATTGTTTTATAATGTTTACCTGTAGGAGGGAGATAGAGTGAATGTTGATGTTACCTCCCCTGGTGCTACTCTGGCCCTTGGTATGATCTTCTTCAACACACAAAACAGGTATGTTATGTCAGTGGATTTTTTAATGTTTTTTTTTTTTTATTTTTTGTAATGTAACTTGCGTCATCATCTCATGGCCCGTGTATCACAAGGGCTGTAACAAAGTAATGTCCTAGTATCATGATTTTGTCACCACTAGTGTATCACCAATCAGTGTTTCTTCCAGACATTTTTCTCCGGGGAGTGGGGGGGGGCACTTGAAATTTTTTTTGGGGGGGGGGGGGGGGGCGGTAGACTGTTAAAAGTATATATTTTCTATATAAATTATAGAAATTTCATTTTGTTCGGGGGGGGGGGGGGGGGGGGTAAAAAAATTTCGGGGGGGGGGGTTTGTTCCCCCGAAGAGATGCCTGGAAGAAACTCTGTCACCAATCCACATGTCACCTCTAGTGTATCACCAGTCCACATGTCACCTCTAGTGTACCAATGTATGTCACCTATAGTATACCACAAGGTCATGTCCATTTGAATTGTGTCACCAAAAGTGTGTTATCACTCATTCATCTCCAGTTATCAAATCTACATGTGTCACTCAGTCATGTCTATGTGTCACCTTTTGTCACCAAAGTGCATCACCTCTTGTGTATAACCATTCCATGTGTCACCTCTAGTATACCACTAAGTCATGTCCATTTATCACCTTTACTTGTGTCACCTCTAGTATTACCAAAGTGTGTCACCTCTAATATATCACCAAAGTGTGTCACCTCTAATATATCACCAAAGTGTGTCACCTCTAATATATCACCAAAGTGTGTCACCTCTAATGTATCACCAAGTTGTCATTTCTAAGGATCACCAAAGTGTGTCACCTCTCAGTCATGTCCATGTGTCACCTCTAATGAATCACCATGGTGTGTCACCACCAGTGTACCACCCAATCACATCCCTGTATCACCTTACATGTACCACCTTTATCACCTTACATGTACCACCTTTATCACCTTACATGTACCACCTTTATCACCTTACATGTATCACCTTTATCACCTTACATGTACCACCTTTATCACCTTACATGTACCACCTTTATCACCTTACATGTACCACCTTTATCACCTTACATGTACCACCTTTATCACCTTACATGTACCACCTTTATCACCTTACATGTACCACCTTTATCACCTTACATGTACCACCTTTATCACCTTACATGTACCACCTTTATCACCTTACATGTACCACCTTTATCACCTTACATGTACCACCTTTATCACCTTACATGTACCACCTTTATCACCTTACATGTATCACCTTTATCACCTTACATGTACCACCTTTATCACCTTACATGTACCACCTTTATCACCTTACATGTACCACCTTTATCACCTTACATGTACCACCTTTATCACCTTACATGTACCACCTTTATCACCTTACATGTACCACCTTTATCACCTTACATGTACCACCTTTATCACCTTACATGTACCACCTTTATCACCTTACATGTACCACCTTTATCACCTTACATGTACCACCTTTATCACCTTACATGTACCACCTTTATCACCTTACATGTACCACCTTTATCACCTTACATGTACCACCTTTATCACCTTACATGTACCACCTTTATCACCTTACATGTACCACCTTTATCACCTTACATGTACCACCTTTATCACCTTACATGTACCACCTTTATCACCTTCTTCCTTTACCCCCAGCGCTGTATCAGAATGGCTGAAGGCACCAGACACCCAGTTTATGTTGGACCAAGTCCGACCAGATTTTCTCTGTCTGAGGGTCAGTACAGTTTTACATCATCTTTTGGCCACATGGAAAAGAAATCATTCATAAACATGATCCGTTGTTTTAAGTCTAATTAATGGTTTCGCTTCTTCCTAATTTTTTAATAATCTTTTAGCCGTCATTAAAAGAAATATTTATAAACATGATCGTTGTAAATCAAATAAATTGTTTAAGTTTTTTCCTAATTTTTAGATAATCTTTTAGTCATTATAAAAAAAAATCACCGATAAACAATAACAGTTGTTTTGAATCAAATGAATTGTTTCGTTTCTTCCTAACTTTTAGAAAATCTTATAGTTATAGCCATTATTCAAAGAAATCATTGATAAACATAAACAATTGTTTTAAATTAAATAAATTGTTTCATTTCTTCCTAACTTTTAGATAATAAGCTATGGACTTGTCAACTGGGATACCATCTTACCCACCACAGCTTGGCTAACTAGCAACATTCCTGAGGTAAGACTATCCAATAGTTGTATCCACAAACTTTCAATTTCCTGAGTTTCTAAGGATTACTTGTTAAAAAAAATTGTGGAGAGTTGAAATGCAGTTCTTTTGTTGTTTTTTTTTTAATTTATACATCAATGTGAATAAAGAGTAAACAGATCTTCTAAAATTCTGGCATGGCAATGTAGTATTACATTCAGTTTTCACATATCAGTATTGCAGTTAAGGTTAATGGAAGGTCTAAGGTGAGAGTCAAGTTGAGCATTAACTGTGATGAAAGCTAAATTCGATATACTGCAGACTATCTAAAAGCTATAAGATTATTTAAAGTTAGCTAGAAGTATTTTTATATAGTTATTTTTTTCAAACCTTAGTGGCAGATGAAGTAGAGTTCATTTGTTTTTGTGATGAAGGTCATCTCTATGCCCAAGTGCCTTAATTTTCCCTAACATGAGTCAGATACCCCTCAGAGCTGGGTGGATATAGACTTGAGCCCAGGATTTGAACTTGAGACGTTTGGGACAGCTGTTAAACTTTCTACCACCCAGCCATGCTATCCCCTTTGTTGAAAATTTAATTTTATTTCACATCTAGCTTTCATATATCTTCTTTCTTTAGTAAAAAAATGAAATAAGTTTATATCAATAAATGAACTTGTATTTAATTAAAACTGCTTTACACTTTCAGATAGTGAAAAAGTATGCATTTTTTAAAACAAGACCAAATGACGAGACTGAATTGGATTCTTCCATTGATCTGCAGACCATGAGGTAAATTATCATTTGTCTTACATCAATTGACACCAGTCATACAACTAAAATAACAAATATAATTAGGTGTGGCAACTGGTGGTCCAGCAAATGTGGTGGTTGTTTTCCACCATATGTGACAGCTGCTCCAAATGTGAGGCAGGGTTTGGGGAAAGTCATATATCGGTAATGTTCTGCCATGAACATATTTCTTCCTACAGGGATCGCCTGTTCTTATATACGCCTGGTATATTGTGTAATCAACACAAAAGGTCCAATTCAATATAATACAGTTCTTTATTTACACATGACTTTGACTCCTACCATAACTATGTCCTAACACTTGATTGTCTAACACTATATAACTACACTAACACTTGACTTATCCCTATACACTCCCATCACCATCCCTCACACTATCTACATTCTAACTTTCTACATCTTTCCACTAGGGCTACCTATCTCTAACTGCCGACCCACGCTTCTGATGTCATTTGACCGTCTCATGTGACTTGTCATCTCCTGTATTTCTATTGGTCTACGCTATGCTCTGTTTCTGCTATCCTCTACTTGACCTCCATGACGTAAACTTGCGTCATCACAGTAGGGATAACTAATAGAATTACTTCTTCAGCCAAGCCCACTGTAACATCACAAGTGGGGCCTGTCTAGTGCTGGCTCTCAAGTTTGCTGGCTCAGCTAATAAAGAGGCATTCAAGACATTGGTATGTTGTTGTTTATGTTTTACTTCAATGTGCTGTGTTAAAAATAAATAAGTGGCTTATAATATTTTAATTTAGTTAATTATGTTAAGTTAATCACTATTATATTTGCTTAGAATTTTCTTGTACAATAATTATAATAATTTCTATCATTATTTGTATATAACCCTTACTTTTATAGTGTTTATATTAAAATAGTTCAATGACTTGTTTAGTTTAATGCAGTTTTTAATAAATTGTAACCATAGGTTCATGTAGTCTTAAAATAAAAAAAATTCTGTTTACCTTAGCTATTATTGATTTTTATTTGAATTGATGAGATGAATATCATATGTGAATTGTGATGTTTGTAACATCATGAATTGTGATGTTTGTAATATCATAGGTACAATGTTTTAATGTCTGTAACATCATATTTACAATTTATTTGATGCGTGGTGTGTCACATTGTTGTGATGTTCATAAAATCATCATGTCAAAATATTGTGATGTCTGTAACATCTTATTCTTAATGTTGTGATGCTCATAACATCAAAATGTTGTGGAGTCTGTCACATATTCACAATATTGTGATGTCTGTAACATCTTATTCTTAATGTTGTGATGCTCATAACATCAAAATGTTGTGGAGTCTGTCACATATTCACAATATTGTGATGTCTGTCACATCTTATTCTTAATGTTGTGATGCTCATAACATCAAAATGTTGTGGAGTCTGTCACATATTCACAATATTGTGATGTCTGTAACATCTTATTCTTAATGTTGTGATGCTCATAACATCAAAATGTTGTGGAGTCTGTCACATATTCACAATATTGTGATGTCTGTCACATCTTATTCTTAATGTTGTGATGCTCATAACATCAAAATGTTGTGGAGTCTGTCACATATTCACAATATTGTGATGTCTGTAACATCTTATTCTTAATGTTGTGATGCTCATAACATCAAAATGTTGTGGAGTCTGTCACATATTCACAATATTGTGATGTCTGTCACATCTTATTCTTAATGTTGTGATGCTCATAACATCAAAATGTTGTGGAGTCTGTCACATATTCACAATATTGTGATGTCTGTAACATCTTATTCTTAATGTTGTGATGTTCCTAACATCATCAATGATGTCATAATGTTGTGATGTCTGTAGCTAGACAGCCTGGGCTCCTCTATGAAAATGTTGGGTGACCAGACACTGCTGGACCAGGCCGGACGCTCCACTGTGGAGAACTGCATCAGCATCAAGCTCCTCTCCCTGGCTATTGTAAGTTGTTGTTTTTATGTAAACCCTATCTTTCCAAATGGACGTGACTGAACAAAATTATTTCCTTGTCCCTTTAGGAAGAAAACTAACCTTCATATCACAATTCCCTATGGGTTTTTAATTTATTTTAAAAATTTGTTGGCTGTAGAGTTTTTTGCCAGTGCAATACTCAACAGCATTTGCTTTGCCCAAGTAAAGTTGGGTACCACTTAAAGCTGAGTAGGTTCCAAGATGCTGTGCAATTGCTAGTTGAAAATCTGGACATGAATATTTATCCATGGCTTAGTAATTATTTTTTTCAAATTTTTTTCAGATGAATTATTTAATTTTTTGATACATTTTCAATAATATACTTTTTACATCTGTTACTAGATTCTTTGTAATTCTTTAATTTTGTTACCTTATAAACCTGATTTATTTATTTTAAACCTACTTTTTGTATTTCTATACTTTTTATATCTATAATTTGATTTTCTATAGTTCTATAGACTTTTTACCTTTTGAACCTGAGTTATTTACTTTAAACCTGATTTATTTATTTTGAACCTGAGTTATTTACTTTAAACCTGATTTATTTTTGACGTATGACGCAGGTGATGGCTGGCACTGGTGACCTTGTGACCCTAAGAATATGCCGGGCTCTACGTCGTCGCGTGGGCTCACAGTACCACCAATTCACGTATGGCAACCACATGTGTACGGCCATGGCCACTGGCCTGCTCTTCCTGGGTGGGGGAAAGTAAGTTTTTTTGCTTCAAACACCGAAACAGTTTTATGCATACTGTTTATTTTGTTTAAATTTCATAACATGCTACAACTTTTCTTAACAAAGTTTTATTTTTCTTGTAAATTAATGCTACATCAATAATTTTTTAAGTTTATTTGTTAAAACTTCATACACAGCAGTTGTAGAAATAGTTTTCATGTTGAAGTATGATCCTAGAGAAGATAGGGTTAATGCACAGATATTGTTTTAGATATGTTGTTTTATTGATTGTAAAGGACAAAAGTTTGCAACAATAAAATATAAATCAGTACAACTTTTTGTAAAGTGTTTATCAGAAAGTGCTGTGAAATATTTTCTGTGAAATAATTCCTTTAAAAAAATGTACCCAGAGTGGCATAGATTTATCTTCCCCTTTAATTTTGATGCTGGCCCATCCTGCAGATTAACCAAAAATGTACCTTATGATGTAGTTTTACCAAAAATGTCCCTTATGTTGTAGGTTTAACAAAAATGTCCCTTATGTTGTAGGTTTGACAAAAATGTCCCTTATGTTGTAGGTTTGACAAAAATGTCCCTTATGTTGTAGGTTTGACAAAAATGTCCCTTATGTTGTAGGTTTGACAAAAATGTCCCTTATGTTGTAGGTTTGACAAAAATGTCCCTTATGTTGTAGGTTTAACAAAAATGTCCCTTATGTTGTAGGTTTGACAAAAATGTCCCTTATGTTGTAGGTTTGACAAAAATGTCCCTTATGTTGTAGGTTTAACAAAAATGTCCCTTATGTTGTAGGTTTGACAAAAATGTGCCTTATGTTGTAGGTTTAACAAAAATGTCCCTTATGTTGTAGGTTTTACAAAAATGTCCCTTATGTTGTAGGTTTTACAAAAATGTCCCTTATGTTGTAGGTTTTACAAAAATGTCCCTTCTCTTTTAGGTTTAACAAAAATGTCCCTTATCTTGGTGGTTTAACAAAAATGTCCCTTATGTTGTAGGTTTAACAAAAATGTCCCTTCTCTTTTAGGTTTTACAAAAATGTCCCTTATGTTGTAGGTTTTACAAAAATGTCCCTTATGTTGTAGGTTTTACAAAAAATGTCCCTTCTCTTTTAGGTTTAACAAAAATGTCCCTTATCTTGGTGGTTTAACAAAAATGTCCCTTCTCTTTTAGGTTTAACAAAAATGTCCCTTCTCTTTTAGGTTTAACAAAAATGTCCCTTATGTTGTAGGTTTAACAAAAATGTCCCTTCTCTTTTAGGTTTAACAAAAATGTCCCTTATGTTGTAGGTTTAACAAAAATGTCCCATGTCTTTCAGGTTTACATTAAAGACAACACCAGAAGCAGTGGGAGCCATGTTGTGTGCCTTCTACCCACAATTCCCTCTCTCCAGTACTGACAACAGGTTGGTCAACAATTTTTGCACCCTCAAAACTTTTCTCTGTTGAGATGGTGAGGGGTGGAAGCAGGCATTGTAACTGAAATAGCAATGTAAACAGAAAGTGATATTTCAACGCCAAGGGTAGACAAAGGTACAGAATATAGTCCAAGTAAAGACAATTTCAACGCCAAGGGTAGACTTGGACTATATTCTGTACCTTTGTCTACCCTTGGCGTTGAAATATCACTTTCTGTTTACATTGCTATTTCTCTGTTGAGATAAAATTGTAAATACACTAGGCGCTCTTAAAATCTCTTTCACATCTAAAGAAGGCAAAGTATTGTTTTATTATCTTTGTTTGGATCATTATACATGCTTTGTAATAATTTTTCACAAGTATGTGGTTTAGAGTAAAAATTAATTTATAACCAGAACTATAAAACTTAAACAGAACTATAAATTTATAACAAACGAAATGTCAACTACTACAAAAAAATTTTTTTTAACCAACTACATGTTGACATATTAAAGGTTTACAATTAACAAATTACAAGTTTACCACCAACAAATTACAATTTTACCACCAATAAATTTGATATTGACAATTTAAGCTTATAGACAACAAATTTAATGCTGTCAAATTCAGTTTATAGCTGACAATTATATTTATAATGCTGTCAAATTCAGTTTATAGTCAACAAATTTAAAGTTGACATTTATATTTATAATGCTGTCAAATTCAGTTTATAGTCAACAAATTTAAAGTTGACATTCAGTTAACAGTCTACAAATTCAACATTGACAAATTCAGTTTACAGCCAACAAATTTAACATTGACAAATTAAGTTTACAGCCAACAAATTCAACATTGACAAATTAAGTTTACAGCCAACAAATTCAACATTGACAAATTAAAAATTAACTGCCACCCACTTGCAGGTACCACCTGCAGGCATTCCGCCACCTGTACGTCCTGGCCTGCGAGCCTCGTCTGGTCATTCCCAGAGATGTGGACACTGGCAGGTTTTGTTTTGTGCCGCTACGCATCAAGTTCAAGGTCAGGAGAAACTTATCTTCGGTTACTGATTAGTTTATCTAGTGGTTAATGACTAATTAGTTTATCCAGTGGTTAATGACTAATTAATTTAACGCATCAAGTTCAAGGTCAGGAGAAATTTACCTGTTGTTACTAATTAGTTTATCTTGTGGTTAATGATACTTAGTTTATCCAGTGGTTAATGACTAATTACTTTATTCTGTTGTTATTGACTAAAATTATTTTATCTTGTGGTCAATGACTAATTAGTTCATCCTGTGGTTAATGACTAATTAGTTTATCCTGAGGTTAACTACTATTAAGTTTATTTAACTTTTTGTTTAGGACTAATTAGTTTATTCTGTGGTTAATGACTAATTGGTTATTAATGATTTTGCAGTTCATTTAGAAAGAAAAATAACAAATTGTTGCTTGCGATATTCCAGGGTTGCCAGTCCTACAAGCCAGTTTCATTTAACGCAGGTGCTCCGTACATAGTTCCAGAGCTCAATAAGTTGGAGGAGGTGAGTGACTGAGGGTGGGGGGGGGGGGAAGATTGTAACATTCTTGGAGTAAGTAATGACATGTTGGTTTTTGAAAGTTGCGAGAACTATCCTTAAACTAAACCCCTATAGCACTTACTCTTTCAATTATTGCTTTTGTTTTGTTCTTAGTATTTAGGTTGTTTTTTTTTAAAATGATTTTGAAACTGAGACAAGATAGCGATCGTACTATTTATAAGGACTTGTATTATTAACTCTTACATAAATAATCTGATGTAAATAAAATAAAATGCAGTTTCATACTATTCTGTAAAGTCGTTCAAAAATTCTATATATAGTAAATATATTATGCTGTCTCTCTCTTATTAAATTTAAACTTTATTAATGTAAAAAGAACATTTTCATGCTACCTGTTAAATTTGTAATTTTATTTATTGGTAAAAAAAATTGTAATTTTTTAAGTAAATTGTTTTATGATACAACACTCTGTTGTTGAAAGAATTAAAAGATGCATAAATAATGTTCAGACAAGTTTGATTCTAATGTTCAGATCCAAGTGTTGGGTGCCAGGTACTGGCCTATAACCTTTAGAGAAGACAAAAACTGGGATACACTCAAGTAAGTCTTTTTGTTATCAGAATTGTTCTGTAACATTTTCATGATCCTAGTTTTTAAAGATTTCATTGCTCTGCTTAGAAAAATATAATAGTAGAAAATAAAAGTCACATGCTATTGAGTTGACTGTTTCTACTATTTGACAGGCTGCTGCTTCAGAAGGGTGGCATTCTATGTGTAAAGCAACGAGCGGGACATTTGTCCTACACTGAGGATCCTAAAGTGAGTCCTTCATTTTAAAAAAATATTTTTAATTTACGTGAAATAATAAGTGGGACATTTGTCCTACACTGAAGATCTTAAAGTGAGTCCATCATTATAAAAAATATTTTAAAAATTACTTGAAATAATAAATGGGACATCTGCCCTATAAATATAAGCCTCCTGGTAATCTTTAAGGTAGTCCTCAATAGTATAAAAAAACTTTTAAAATTTATTTTGTGGTTTCTTGTCTTTTATATTATAGTATAGAAAAAAAAAAATTCCTCGTATATTTACTGTGTTGACAAGTTTGAACTCCTTTTATTATCAAATTTGACATTTGTTTTTATTTTATGTTTCCAGGGTTACAGAAGTGCATTGGCTAAATCACTGATAGCAGATAACTCTTGTCATTTTTCTAGCCAGGTGAGATAACTTTTGTTGTCAGGGGAGATAATTATTGTCATTATATTAAAGGAATAAATGTAGAATTTTCTCTAAATTTTGTAGCCTGGTAAGAAAGACGTTTTAAACATTAATAGCTTAAATATAATTTAAAAAATTAATCACTAAAGACTCAGTAGTTGCAGATAAAAAAAATCTGGCAAAAAACATAGTTTTAATACATTTATAAGAAATTTTTATCCTACATCCTTGAAGTGTACAAGTACAAGTGTTTCCCAGAACAATGCGCAAACAGAAAAATATGCAAATTTAAACTAATTACACTAAGAAACTTAAATTTTGTCATATTTTTTGGTAACAAAGTTCTATTCTGCTATAGTGTACATGTGGTCATTCTTTGCTAACGTCTATAAATGCTTGATTTAGAAAAAATTCCCATGCACACATTTTTTGTGCGTTTTCTGTTGTGCAGTTTTCCATTGCGCATTTTCTGGTCACCCCTACAAACCAAAAATTAAGCTTGATACTACCATTTGTTTGTTTGTTTGTTTGTTCCAGCCTTCTGTCATCAAGTCTTTCACATCTGATGCCAAGATCACAGCACTGGCAGAGTTTTTCTTACAACAGGACAGCTCGGTGAGTCACACGTTCAGTCAAATTTTAATGTAACGATTTTTACTCAGACTTTTGTTTTTCTCAGGGTTACCTTAATGAGATTTCACAATTAATGAGACTATAGTGTTCATTTACTCTAGAAATTTGTTATTAATGTTTGTTTTTTTTTTTGTTTTTTTTTGCAATTTAATTTTTTTTATTAAAAACCTATATTTTTACACTGACTTCTATATTCTAAGTATGAACCTCAATGAGAACACACAAACTAAGGATACTATGGTATTCATTTACTCTAGAAATTTTTTATTGATGGTTTTTTTTTATTATAATTAAAAAACCTATATTTTCATCAAGCTGCCTATATTTACAATTATTTAACTGTTTTGGCCTTTATCAGCTTAAAAAACTCATCTGAACTTTTAATTATGATAACATGAATTTCATTGTTTACTAGAACAACAGCATGATGCAGGCCCTGTCCTCTGTGATCTACCAGTGTGTGACTCAGGAGAAAGCGGAAGCCATTTGTCCACATTTTATCCTAAAACATGTAAGTAGGGCTCTTTCACTGCATTTTTATATTATACACCAACCCATCTAGGAGAGACAACTCCAAAATTAAACAACTGCTTCCCTGTAGTTTGTTCTTGGATGGACAAAACTATACAGGAAAAAAAGCAGGTTCAAATGAGAGTCAATGGGTCACACTGTGCATAAAATGTTGACATGTAATACTTAATTGTGTTGGAGGAAATCACATCCAGCATTACAGTTGAGAACCAAGTAGAAGAACTGTCAACGAAAGTTCTAATTAAAAAAAATTTTTTTTGCATTTTGATTAATTAATTGAATTATTTTATGTTTAGCAATAATTCTTTAACAACTTGCTCTCAGCCCTGTTAATAGAAATCAACTGTCAATAAATCTAATTAATTTTAATTAAAATTTTGCACTTTAAGCTTTCTCAGTAGTTCTCAGCCTCTTCCAGCACATTTGGATTTCAGCAGCTGAATTTAATTTAATTTTTGTAGTACTTTGGTTAATTAAATTATTTGACTTTTAGCTGAGTCAGCAGTTTGCCGCCTCCACCAGCACATTTGGCCTGCAGCAGCTAAATTTAATTTAAAAATAATGTATCACCTTGGTTAATTAATTATTTGACTTTTAGCTGAGTCAGCAGTTTGCTGCCTCCACCAGCACATTTGGCCTGCAACAGCTGAAGCTGGTGATGAGCTACTACCTGAGCCAGCACCAGCTGGTCAGCTCTGCCCCGGAGAGGCTGGTACAGACAGAGTTCCTGCTGACACTCCGGTGCCAGATAGAGAGGCTGCTGGATCAGTGGCTGACAGGTAGGGGGAGGTAATTTGTGGAGTACAGGAAGGGGAGGTAATTTGTGGGTTACAGGTAGGGGAGGTAATTTGTGGGTTACAGATAGGGGAGGTAATTTGTGGAGTACAGGTAGGGGAGGTAATTTGTGGGTTACAGGTAGGGGAGGTAATTTGTGGGTTACAGGTGCGGGAGGTAATTTGTGGGTTACAGGTAGGGGAGGTAATTTGTGGAGTACAGGTAGGGGAGGTAATCTGTGGGTTTACAGGTGGGGGCTGGATAATTTGGGGGATATATTTAAATTGATTTCTGTTTTTTTTTTTTTGTTGTTTTTTTTTTTTCAAATTTTTTTTTAAACAATTTTTGTCCTGAGAAACTTTTAAAAATAATTTGAAAATATTCAGTTTGCTCTATTTTATGTTAAGCTAAGGCCCTAAATACTTTTACACATTTTTTCTTCTTTTTTAAATAGAAAATTTAAAAAAAATAATTAAAAAGTATTTTATTATTAAAAGGTTAAAATCTAATGTGAAAAACAGTAGTTGTTTTGTAGTTAAATTTTACAAACTTGCAAATGAAATTTTTAAAAAGAAGTCATTTAGATCTATATGTTTTGTTAGCATTTTTCTTTGTGTTTTTTTTTTCAAGTTTTTATTTCTGATAAAAAAAAAATTCCCACCACCAGACAACAAGGACTGTATGTTGAACTACCTGCGGGGTGAACTACTGCAACACCACCCCACGGGCTACCTGGCCCAGTACCTGGTGTGGTTTTCCTTCCCCAGCAAGTTGGACATTTTTGATGCCGGCTACACCAGTAAGTTGGCTGGTTTTGAATTAAGTTCTAGCTGTAAGCTATAGTGTCAGGATGACCTTGCGTCTAGCTGTAAAGCATATTATCAGATTGTGGCCTTGATTCTAGCTGTAAGCTATATTGTCAGGTTGTAGCCTGGGTTTTAGCTGTAAGCTATAGTGTACGATTGTGACCTTGGTTCTAGCTTTAAGCTATATTATCAGATTGTGACCTAGGTTCTAGCTTTTAAAGAATGTTATGGTATGTCTTTTTAAAATCTTGGGACTGGGTTCTATAGGGGACGGAGTAGTCTAGCAGTAGAGAGCTGGACTGCTAACCCATAAGTCTTGAGCTCAAATCTGGGTTCAAGTCAGTAGACCGTCCCTGAGTCCACCCAACTCTGATGGGTACCTAACTAACGTTAGGAAAGTAAAGGCGGCTGGGCATAGTGCTGACCACACTATCTCTTCATATAGCCGAGGTCACAGAAACAAGTGAACTCTACTCCACTTGCCCTATAGACCATCAGGTTTGAAAAGGGAACTTAACTTTTACTTGGTTCTATAAAGTTTGTTACCCCTTTGGACCTGGTGCTAGAATTAGTGAAGTTCACCTGTTTCTTTGACCTCCCCATTTGAAGGGATACTGTGGTCAGCACAATGCCCAGCTGCCTTTATTAACCCTGAGTCAGGTACCTGTCATAGCTGGCCTTAAGTCCAGCATCTGAACTTGAGAATTTTAAGTTAGCAATTCTGTGCACTACCACCCAAATACACTGTTGTGGGTCTGTAAAGAGTTTGTTGCAGAAAGTTTCATTTGAGTTAAAGTTTTATTCCATCTGGTAAAGGTAGAATAATTCCTAACACCAGCGTCATATTTGTTTTTGATATCTGTCTTTTAGCTTATAGTACTTATGTCATCTTTATAGTACCTCATGTCATCTTTATAGTACTTATGTCATCTTTATAGTACCTCATGTCATCTTTATAGTACCTCATGTCATCTTTATAGTACCTCATGTCAACTTTATAGTACCTCATGTCATCTTTATAGTACCTCATGTCATCTTTCAGCCTGCCCTCCTATTCCTGTGTTGGCCGGACTGTTGCCTCACCTACACATGGCTGGTTTAAAGAGGCTCCACAGCTTCCTCACATCCAGATGACAGTACACAACATCCAGATGACCAGGCCAAATTCACGATACAGTACCAGATGACCTTCACCTCCACCATGACATGCCCTATACCACAGGCCAGCAGCTCTGTGAATAGATACCAGGTCACCTTGACCACAATGTAAATACCCAGATCCCACTAGCTACCTTCAAGTTTGATATACTCATGTGCGCTTAGATAATCATCTGACATCATAAACCCTATTTGTTTCTGTTTAAATTTATTTATCTGATTTTAGTTTTAATTAGTTCATGTTTTTATGATCAATTTAAAATATGCTGTTTATGTCAACTGTTTAACTTGTTACTGTAAATTTAATTAATTACTCTGTGAAGTAATGCTGGTAGAATTTTGTTGAGGTCATTTGTTGGCCATTTCAGTCATTTGTTGGCCATTCACATCATTTGTGGGCCATTGAACAAATTGTAAATAATTTTTTTCTTTAACATATGCAACAATTGAATATGTGATGTGTGAAGTTTGATGGCAAATTGAGATGGTTTTTGTGTGGGAAGTTGTGTGTGAGATGTTTGTGTGTGTGAGGTTGTGTATGAGATTTTTTTGTGTGGGAAGTTTTGTGTGAGATGTTTGTGTGTGGGATGTTTTTGTATGAAAAGTTTTGCGTGTTTGGTAAACAATCTGATGACTGCGAGGTGTTAAATATTTCAGTAAACAAATGGGAACAGCTGTCTGATGCTGTTTTGGTGTGAGGTGTGAGGTAGTGTGAGTTGGTCTGACATTCGAACTCAATGACTGAGAGAGTTTATGCATATAGTAAGAATAATTGTTCTCATATTTACACATTTTTTTGTTACTATCACATATTAAAAATGTTAATAGAAATGTGTTTTGTTTTATTTTACTTTATACATAATGTCTATCATAATAATTGGAAATATTTTTTTTAAAATCCTGTTTTATTAAATCTCTTCACAAGATGTAATGGGAAATAACTCAAAAACTCAAAGAGTTATCTATCTTGAGCCCAAACTGACGTGGTTTCCTTATCTCACTATCAGTAGTCTGATGATTTAGGTAGGCCCATATCACATATAAAACAGATGTTACTGCCCAAACTGGATAAAAATGGAACACATTTTTGTGTTTATAAAAACTGGTGTTGGTAAAATTAAAGTTTGAAAAAGATTTGGTAGTGTAATAAAGAAGTTTTCTTTAGGTTTAAAATTTGACTATGTCTAAACAAAATAAGTCACTGCCAGTCAGAGGCGTAGCAAGGGGGGGGGGGGGTTGCGGACCGCACCGGGTGACAACATTTAGTGGGGGTGACACCAAGGCAAAAAATAGCAAAATATATAGAGAAAAATGATAATTTTGAGAGGGGGATGGGGGTGCAAATCGAAAATTGAAAGTTTATCCCCGGGAAGGGTCGCTACGCCTCTGAGGTGGGTGACACCATTAAGTGCCGCACCGGGTGACACCCAACCTCGCTACGCCACTGCTGCCAGTATCTGTATTTAAAAATGTAGGTCTATTTTGTAAGACTCGAATCTACGTCCGATGATCCCTAGTACTCTGCCGTATTAAAAATAAATTAACCGGCTGTTCATCTAATTTAGCTCAATCGTCCCAAATAAAAAGCAACGCTAGTTAGCCTGTTGTCCTTCTTGGCCAGATGCCGCCGACCAAGACCTTCCTGGCAACAAAGACCTAGGCAAAATTCTGGCATTGGACTTGTCGATAAACCAAACTTTCTTGTTTCTCTCAAATTAACACTCCCCCCCCCCCCCCCCCCCCCCTGTCTTTATCTTTTTTTCTTCTTCTAATTCCTCTTCGTCGTACATTATAAAAATCCTTTCATATTTTCGAGTTATTTTTAGAAGAAAAGAAAAATTCATTCTTATTTCTGTTTAGAAATATCTAAAATTGGACTGGGAATTCCCGCTTTTAATTCCCGCATTTTGTATTAGACTTACTAGACAAGACGCAATTAAACAATCTGCACTATAGCGCACATTTGATGAACGCTAGAATTTTTTCATAAACATGTAAACAGGATCGACTTTGCCATAGTGATTTATGCTTTTATATAACCCGTTTACAATCGAACGCATTCTTACAGCAAACGTGAGGAATAATTTCTTTTATCCGTTGCTTCTTTTGTTTATTGAAATTAGAAGACAAACTTTCTTATTAAATTAGCGTTCGGATTCATTTAAAACTAATCTGGACGTGATGTCAAATTTTAACCTAAAGTCGCCATAGATAGGGCAAGATTTGTCGGAAGAAATTCCAACCCCGGCAACTAGAAATGCCATGATGTTCCTTGCCAGTGATTGGAGCCGGCTTTTCCGTTCGTTGTGGGAAGGGGGGGGGGGGGGGGGGGAAGCAGACTGGTTCAAGTACATATTATGTGTACAAAATCGATTTTGCTCGTGGAGGGGTGCCTGCCAGGAAGAAACTGAACAGGAGGATGATAGATTATTGTACAGTATTGCACAGAGAGTAGGCCTATTTATTTATCTGCAGCTGTTGTCGCTGCGAAAGGTTAGGGTCAAGATTGGATGGGGGGGGGGGGGGGGGGGGAGAGTTAAGGATCATTTATAATTAGTCATTAATTACTACCGCTAAGCAATGCGGTGGTTTAATTTTTTCTCAGAGTTTAATGAGAAGATGTTAAGGGGCCAGTGTTTCTTTTGGCTACAGGACATTACCCCCCCTGAGCAATTACCCCCCCCCCCCCTTGTCAATTCCCCCCCCCCCCCGGGGAAATTAACCCCCCCCCCCCCCCCCCCCTTCAAGTTAGAATCCTAACTCTAACCCAGATTACCTTAATCCTAACCTTAAGAAAAAGACCAAAACCTAAGCATTCACTTCAGCAGTGCTTCTTCCAGACTTTTTTCTCAGGGGGGGGGGGGGGCACTTAAAATTTTCGGGGGGGGGGGGGGGGGGTTCAACATCTTTCGGAGGAGGGGGGGCGGACACTAGTAAAAGTGTGTGTTTACTATATAAAATCCATCTTGTTCGGGGGGGGGGGGGGCGGTAGACTGGAAGAAACTCTGCACTTCAGCCTAAAACTTAACACAAAACAAAACCAACTCTAGACATTGGTTTCAGCCTAACCTTGACCATAACACTAACCCTAATCCTAGCCCTGACCCTAACCCTAAAATAACACTAACTCTAATCCTAACTCTAAATCTAGCCCTAACCTGAACACTAACTATAACCCTAGCTGTACCTTAAGCTATACCGGGGAAGGGGGGGGGGGTAATGTCCTACTGGGCGGGGGTAATTGACAGGGGGTTAATTACTCCGAGGGGGGGGGGGGGTAATGCCATGTTCCCGAGGGGGAAAAACTGAAAGAAACACTAAAGGAAATTGAAAAGATAATTAAAGAGTTAGAAAAGTATGTGAGAATATGGTGTGTTATGGTTATGTCTTTTTTTTTTAAACTGGGATCTGTAAAGTTAGTCAGTGACCCTATTGGGCCTAGTGGTGGATAGGGTAGTTGAAGTAGAGTTCATCTGTTTCTGTGACCTAAACATTTGAAGGGATAACATGGTCATCACTATGTCCAGCCGCCTTTACTAACCCAGAGTCAGGAGTTGTTTTTTTTTTCTAGTGCTATCTTCCTCTTCCCTCGGGCAAGAATCGATGGGTTTATGTTTCTTCATATTTTTTATATTGCCATAAAAAGATATTTTGGACACGTAATAGTATTCCGAGGACGATACCGGAAGCCCGATCGGCATCTTAATTAATCTACCACTTGCATCAAATAATACATGCCATGCTGACATTAATAAACATTTAATACATGACATGTCGACATTAATGCACCAGATGATACATGACATGCTGACATTAATGTACAAAATAATTGACATTAATCCACAACTTAATCTCATTAATCCACAATTAAATCTAATGTATCCACAACTTAATCTTATTAATCCACAACTTAATCGCATTAATCCACAACTTAATCTTATTAATCCACAACTTTATCTCATTAATCCGCACCTTAATCCAATTAATCCACAACTTTATCTCATTAATCTCATTAATTCACAATTAAATCTAATATATCCACAACTTTATCTCATTAATCCGCACCATAATCTAATTAATCCACAATTTAATCTCATTAATCCACTATTTTATCTAATTAATCCACAACTTAAACATCATTATTCCACAACTTAATCTCATTAATCCACCACATGCGCTGATTCTGTCCCTTTATTACAGATGATGACGTGATTTATGTTAGAACCAGCTTTCCCGCGTTGATGAGACCTGTTGACTTAAAATGTGACTTTGTATGCTTCAAGCGTCCTCGTGTTAGCTACAAGCGTGTCTCTGTAAGCTTCAAGCGTCATCGCATAAGCTTCGAGCGTCCCCGTCTTAGTTACAGGCGTGTCTCTGTAAGCTTCAAGCGTCATCGCATAAGCTTCAAGCTTCCTCGTCTTAGCTACAAGTGTCAGTCTGTATGCTTCAAGCTTCCCCGTCTTAGCTACAAGTGTGAATTTGTAAGCTGCAAGTGTCCCTTAGTTTCGAGCGACCCCGCGTAAGCTCCACATTTGATTCACCAAAGCTCAATGAGCTTGCCTTGCACCGACTGAAAAATTGTAAACATTCCCGCCAAGCGAAAACTCAACCAGTCGCCTGCCAAAGCTACAAGGTCAAGGAAACATGACGTCAAAGGAAGTTATCTCCATTCACCCAATCAGCAATTTTGTTTTCGCCGATAGGAAAGCGGGCGGGTTTTCGTCGCCTTGGCTCAGTGGAGCAGACGAGACTCTGATGGATGAGTTTCACTTTGAGGGGGAGGTGGCGACCTCGACGGAAAAGGAAATCAGGAAGATTCAAAGTTTGGATTTTGATTCGGTGGTGGCGGCCTCTACTGTGTCACCACAAGCTAGCGTATCACCACTTGGGTTACCACCTAAGGGGGTTGAACACACCGGAAGTGATTGTAATCAACCGATAATGGAGGTTGATGATGCAGGTGTTGAAGACGGGTCGGGCTACGGAATTGAAGATTTTCAAGATGGCGGGTTGGATGACTTCAATAGTTTAGTGAATTGGATGGACAGTTTGGACGAATCCGATGACTGTGCCGATTCAGACTTTGTCGGCCGGGGTGATGACGTCAGCGCAAAGACGGATACATTAGAGACCGATATTGTTGACAATATATTGACCCCTCTCATAACGGACAATAAGTTGACCATGAACACACCTGACAATAAGTTGACCATGAACACACCTGACCATAAGTTGACAACGAACACACCTGATAATAAGTTGACCATGCACATACCTGACAATAAGTTGACCATGCACAAAACGGACAATTTGTTGACCACGGATTTAGCGGGAAATGCGTTGACCAGTAGCGCTACGGACGTAGGAGATTCAACCTCGCTGCACACACTGTGTGGGGCGGGAAATGTGAATGTCGAGCATCATACGACAGGAGCTGACAGGCTTTCAGTCACAACAGCTGACCATAGGCCGACAGCTGGCCATAGGCTGACAGCTGGCCATAGGCCGACATCTGAGCATAGGCCGACATCTGCCCAAAAGCCGACATCTGACCAAAGGTCAACATCTGATCATAGGCCGACAGCTGACCAAAGGCCGTTATCTTACCAAAGACCGATATCTGGCCAAAGGCTGACATCTGACCAAAGGCCGACATCTGGCGAAAGGCCGACATCTGACAAAAGGCCGACATCTGACCAAAGACCGACATCTGACCAAAGGCCGAAATCTGAAAAAAGGC